TACTAGGAGCAAGGACGCTACTAGGGGCTCCTGGCCGTACTACTAGGGCATCGCTACGAACGGAGCAAAGAAGCACGGACACTTTCGAGATTGTCGCAGGCGGCTCAACGCCGTCCACACCTTCGACCTCGGTGATCGGCTTCTTTGCGAAGACTTTAGGCAAAGGCATGTCCAAGGAGCGGAGTGCGGAGAATTAGGGGTTTCGTCAGTACCTTGAGTAAGAATGCTCCTAGTAGTGATGCCAGGAGCCGCTACCTAGTAGTAAGGCCAGGAGCCGCTAGTAGAGATGTCCATGTGAGTCACTTTAGGAAGGATCCTTTGATCTTGTGAACAGAGAAGGGCTGCTGTGGCTGCTTTTGTCCTCCAGTTTTGTGTCGCGTTGTGGGGTCGACTGGTACAAGAACAACATGAAGATGGATTCACGACCCTCCATTGCTGCAACCTGGCAAGGTAAGAATTGTAAGAGGAGAGGTGCCAAAGAGGTAGATGATAAAAGGAGAAAAACACAAACACGCAGAAGAACAACACCTAGAACAAGAAGCTGCCATGTTGAAAGAGTAGAGGCTGTCAACGTTTACTTTTGACCGAGGTGAGGGCTATGCGTTCAATGGCCTCCCGAGAGATCCAGGGGATTTTGCCCGGGGAAGTGGGCGATACCCTCGACACGATGTCGGAGGATCCGCCAAAACCTGCGATCAAAAAGGCATAGTAAAAGGTAGCTACTAGGGGCTCCTGGCATCACTACTAGGAACAAGGACGCTACTAGGAACCAGGACGCTACTAGGGGCTCCTGGCCTTACTACTAGTAACAAGGGCATTAGGTTGGAGGCCATAGGTTGGAGGCCATTACTACTAGTAGTTAGAAGCTACTAGTAGCAGGGGCATCGCTACTAGCTAGAAGCTACTAGTAACAATTAAGGCTTAAGGCATACCCCTTGCAGCCTCACGGCCCTTAATTACGTTGGAAGAAAGACGCTTATGGTCCATTGGCCTTGGTAGGTTTTTTGAAACCAAGATGTGCAACAGACTTTTCTTTGCAAGGCACTCAGCACGCCGGTCATGAGTTCAGGATGACAACCTGCCGCCGAGCCCGCGTCGTGTCCGGGATTTAGCAGACGCTGGAGTTCAAGCCGATGCCAAGGTGCGGAGCTGTGCAAATGCTAGGAACAAGAAGCTACTAGGGGCTCCTGGCATCGCTACTAGGAGCAAGGACGCTACTAGGGGCTCCTGGCCTTGCTACTAGTAACAAGAAGCTATTAGAAACAAAAATTCCATAGAATTAGAATAACAATTATATAATCTAAATCTAAGTAGAATTTAACTAGAATTGAAACAAGAAGCTACTAGGACCTTTTCGCGCGCGCGCGCTACTAGGGGCTCCTGGCCGTACTACTAGTAACAAGAAGCTACTAGTAGCTAGTAGCGATGGCCTCCAACCCGATAGCGATGGCCTCCGCCTAGTAGCTTCTTGTTACGAGTAGGGGGAGCACAACAACGCAAATGCTCAAAGGCCTCAGCTGTTGTGCTTAACTGTCGCCTACCCCTACTCCCTACTGCTAATACGACTTGGAAACTGCTACTTGCGACTGCCACTCTTAGCTACTTCTACTAGCACCCGTCCTATCGCATATACCTGCATACACCCACACATACCCACACCTACACCGACACCGAATATCACCACACAATCGGTAACTCCGGGTTGGCGGAACCGATGTCTATCGAGATGCGGTCATCCGGTGTATGGTGAAGTGATGATGGTATGTGATGTGGTGAACTGTGTGGAAGAGGCATTCTGTTTTTTTTTTCTTGATGTGCTGATGTGCAAAGTCGTGGCATTTGATGTGAAGTCATGGTGAGTTGTCATTGTCTTGATGTGAGAATAGACCAGAAAAGACTGGGACTATCAGCTTGTGAATACGATTCCTGGGACCCAGCGAATTAGAAAGTACCCAGTTGACAAACAGATGGCAACCTACACCATATGTGCGCATATGTCGCAAAGGAAGGGCTACATGACCGAGTAAGCTCATTTCGCAATGCGTACCGTCTGAAAAGGGTCGGCCACAGCTCAAATATCGGATCTTTTCTGCAACCAAACGTGAGTTTTTACTTGGAATGTCTGCTTTTCAACAAAAGGTATTTCAGTCAGGTGATTTTTCCGGAAATGGTCAGGCGCGTGAGGGCAAATTCAATCGTATGGTCAGGAGTAACCAGGATCTTGCTTCTTCTCAGTTGATATTTACTAAGGCCTTGCATTGTTCGTTCTTTGTTTGGCAGTTGAGGGTGGCATTGAATCCCCTGAGATGGTTTGTGATGCCACAAGTTTTCATTAAAGCTCAGGCTGGCATGCTTTGGGCTCCTTGCTTTGCGTGCTTCGATATGACGGAGGGTCTTGCACCCCGTCTCCAGATGTTGTGGGGAGGTCTGAGTCGGTGGCCTCCAACCTCGTCTGGATGTTGACAAACTGACGCTACCTGACAGCTTCGTTTTCTCGTCGGAATGCCCTGCCTCTGCAAGCTTTTTTTTTCATTGCCTGGTGCATCCTGCTTGGGCTTACGCTCAGCTGTATAGGCTTTCTGAAGCTGAATGTGGTATTGGCCCAACATGTAAGTAACAAGGGCAGTACTACTAGTAGCTCAACTCATGAAAGGAAGAACAGGGGAAGTGACGGTAGTCCCGTGCAGTCTCTCCAGAAAAGATGCGGCATTCCAGTAGGCCCTACCCGACACCCATCCAGTCAGTACTACTGGTAGGATGCTTGTTCATGCAACGGCTAGGAGAATAGAAGACTGGCGCCGAGCACCTCTAGCACTGATAAGATTTTGGCTTTTGGAAGGCTAGGAGCAAGCACGCTACTAGGAGCAAAGGGCATCGCTACTAGGAGCAAAGATGCTACTAGGGGCTCCTGGCCTTACTACTAGGAACAAGAAGCTAGTTGGCATGGACCTTCATGTCGCACTTTCTCGACTCCAAAACGTGTGCACTCAGCCCTCAGGGTTGTGATGCACCACACTTGGACCGTAGCTGTCAGGTGAAACGCAAAGCGTACTAGTCGCTTCTTGTTCCTAGTGATGGCCTCCACCGTAATAGCGATGGCCTCCACCTAGTAGCTTCTTGCTTTTACTTTGGGCAAAGTTACAACAACATTTTGTCTTCAAAGTAGACTTTGTGACGTGAGACACGTTGCGCTTGGGACAGAAACGGCAGCATGCATTTCAGAGGTGCTGTGATGAACCTGCTGTGTTTGTAGCAGTTTGCTGTTTGTCGGACGAGCAAGCCTTCCTTGAAACACAGCTCCGAATCCCTCTGCATTCCGCACTTCTTTCCCTTCCCTCTTGCTCCCTCCACGTCCTGCTCTACATCCTTCTTTGGCCCCCTTTCCCTTCTCTCTTTGCATCGCCTTCTTCACCGGGCCCTGCTAGCAACTTTAGAATGCATTCTTATTCGAAGAAGGACTGGAAAGGAAAGGCAAGGTCAAAAGATTGCAAAGAATCAAAAAGCAAGGGGAAACAAACTTTAGCAAACAAAGAGTACTTGAGCAAACTTCAGCCAATCGAAAAATAAGGCTTTGTAGGTGACATGCGCTTTAAGCTTCACTCTCGAAGCCCTTTGCCGCAGGGAGTGGAGGTCTGCCACGTGGGGGTCCAATGCTACCTCCGCGACAGCTATGACTTTGATTCCATGCGTGTGAAGCAACGCCGTAGCAGCGTGATTTGACGTGCGCCTACTTCGGTCCGTCCTTTGTGGTTGTACGTTTTCATTTACTGTCGAACCGTTTCAATTTTAAAACAATTTTGACAGCTTGGGTCATGAGATGCCTAAGCTTGCCTAAGCTTGCCTTTGCTGGCCTTTTGCTTGCCTTTGGCCGCTTCCGCTTGAAGACGGCAGGACTGAGGGACCCTTTTAATCAGGTGACGTTGGCATCAGCCCGAACTGGGCGGTGGAACGCGGGCGCGCATCACCTGGGTCGACCAAATGGCTCGTTCGTGGTACGTGGCGGGATACAGACTAGTTCGTGAGTGCTCCTAGTAGGGTCCTCTTGTTCCTAGTAGTATGGCCAAGAGCCCCTAGTAGCGTCAATGCTACCAGCTTGCAAACATAGTTGTGATCTTTTGGAACATTCACAAGACATTGTGAGAACATGACGTGAAGCTCCTTGAAACATCATGTGTACTTGAATCCACGCTTTGAGGCTCAGTCAGCAAAACAGCAGCAAGGAGTGGTACATAGCCTGCAAAATTTCTCTTTGTGGGACAGCCACAGTGTTCTCTTCGTCAACTCTTGGCTCCCCAGCATCGTGAGTTTGCTGGATTGGTTTGACTGGGTAGTACAAAGCAAGATCGGCACAGAAAAGATAAAGCGGTTATTTATCCGAGACCACTCTTTACCAAAAACCCAACAGATCAGCCATGGCCTCCACCCTAGTAGCGATGGCCTCCAACCTACTAGCAATGGCCTCCAACCTATTAGGTAGTCAGATCAAAGGCTTTTTTCCCGTTGAATTCAACAGCGAATACCAAAGATAGATAGTCCTTCCTTCTCGCTACCGTGGTCATGACAACGCTTCTTGCCAAGCAAGTCGCTGCCTTCAAGCAACAGCATGGCAGGAGCCTCAGAAAATTCACCCCCCTGGTTTGACTGGAGTTTGACCCACCTGCACCCTCTTCGAAACAGGATTCATCGGCTAAGCCGGCGAAGCAAAGAGACGCACTGATGTGGTCACTTCCAAAAAACAGTAGGTCTTTTAAGTCATTTTAGGTACTTCCCCATACCAGCAAGAATCCTCTTTCTGTACTAGAAGGAGCTTCTCAGACTTGCGTTCGAAATGTCCAAGAAGGCCAATCTTGGTTGAAAGACCTGATGCCTCTGACAAACTAGCGAAGCTGTTGGGAAATGACAACCACAGCGTGAGAAAGTCGACTGCGTGAGAAAGGCACTTGTTACTAGTAGCTTCTTGTTACTACTAGTAAGGCACTTGTTACTAGTAGCGATGCACTTGTTACTA